CATCGTCCACACAGCGAAAAAACTAGGGCACTACTTCCAAGCCCACGCCATCCACGTCTTAACTCAGCAACCCCTCGGCGCACTCATGCGGAGCCCCACCAGTTCCTCACGGATGGTGAAATGGGTGATCTTCCTCAGCCAGTTCCAGATCGAGATTAAGCCGAGGCCATCCATCAAGGCGCAGGCCTTGGCCGATTTTGTCACCGAGTGCACAACCAGGGAGACGGCCGCTACCACGTCAGGGCCAGGGCCAGATGAAACATGGACTCTCTTTACTGACGGTTCATCGGCCACCAAAGCTTGTGGTGGCGGCATCGTCCTCATTTCCCCTGAAGGGTTCAGAGCTTACTATGCCATCCGCTTCAACTTAAGGGTATCCAACAATGAAGCCGAGTATGAGGCCCTCCTCAGCGGCCTCAGACTCGTCGCCGACCTCAAAGCACGGCACATCAGAATCAGATGCGACTCCAAACTAGTGGTGGGCCCGATCGAGGGCTCGTACAAGGCTAAAGAAGGGAGGATGAGGCAATACAAATAGGCGGCCGAGGAGTTGCTCAAGGCGTTCGAAACCCATGAGATCACCCAGATCCCAAGGGCCGAGAATGCTGAGGACGACATCCTCTCCAAGCTCAGCACAGACACTCCAGAGCACATCTCCAAGATAGCCAAGGTCGAAGAGCTGAGCATGTCCAGCATCCATGCCAGCCCAGTCATGTGCATCCAACAGCGGCCGGAGGACTGGATTACCGACATCGTGACCTTCATCACCTCGGGAGAATTGCCCCAGGATGAGGAGAGAGCCAAGATAGCCAAACTCAGGGCCCCGAGCTACACCATTGAGGATGGGAAACTTTATAAAAGATCTTACGACGGCACTCTCCTCCGATGCCTGCACCCGGATAAGGCCGAGGTGGCCATGGAGGAAGTCCACTGCGGCGTATGCTCCTCTCACCAAGGCCCCTTCAGCATGTCCCGGCGTCTCGTCGTCCAGGGCTATTTCTGGCCGACGATGGCGCGGGATTGTGCCAATTTTGCAAGGAAGTGTACCGCATGTCAGGTCCTTCAGAAAGCCCCTGGCCGGCCAGTCGTCAACTACGCCCCGGTCAGCACAGCGATCCCATTCTCAAGATGGGGTATTGACCTGGTCGGCCCCCTGCCCAGAGCCGCTGGCAACAACCGCTACATCATCGTCGTCGTAGACTACTTCACCAAATGGGTTGAGGCGGAACCTTTAGCCAGCATCACAGGGGCCAGGTGTCAGAGATTCGTCCACAAAAGCATCCTCACCCGCTTCGGCGTCCCTCATGAGATCATATCCAACAACGGTAACCAGTTCGAGGCCGCACTCTTTCAAGAGCTCCTCCAGGAGTGGGGAATCAAGCATTGTTTCTCCTCCGTTGCCTATCCCCAAGGCAACGAATAGGTCGAGAACGCCAACAGAACCATCCTGGAGGGCCTGAAGAAGAAGCTCCAGGACGCAGGGGGCAGTTGGGCCGATGAGCTCCCCAATATTCTGTGGTGCTACCGGACTACGACGAGGAGGGCAACGGGTGAAACACCCTTTGCCCTTTGCTATGGTTTTGAAGCAAAGACGCCCACAGAGGTTGCTATACCTAGCCGACGGGCGGAACACTATGAGCCTGAGGCCAATGAAGAAATCATGAAGATTGATCTCCACCTGATCGATGAGAGACGGGAGCAGGCTTTCATCCGAGCAGAGAACTACCAGCGTCAAGTAAAATCCTACTATGACGCCAAGGTACGTTCCAGAGAATTCCAGGTGGGGGGCTATGTCCTTCGCCGAAGAAAGGCGAGCAAGCCGACGGAAGGTGGCAAGCTGGCACTCAAGTATGAAGGCCCCTACATCGTCAGTGCCGTGGTCAAACCCGGCACCTACAAACTAAAACACCCGAATGGGTCCAATGTACCACAAACGTGGAATGTACATCACTTGGTGAAATTCTATCAATAATCTGGGGACGGCGCAGCCAACAAAGCCCTCACCTTCCCACGGATTGTTGGTCGAATGCCACCCTCGACCTCGAGCCACTTATCAATAAAAGTATTCTACTTTCCTAGAAAAGTTCAAATGATACTATAATACACCGACCCCTCAGAGCGAAAATGCTCAGGAAAGGTCGACAGAGCACACCGGTCCGGTCCCTCAGAGCGACAATGCTCAGGAAAGGCCGACGGTGTCCCCAGGACGTCTTGAAATGGGAAGCTCACCGCGTCATCTATCCACGCAATCAGCAGGACGACAGGTCTGAAATCATGGTCGAGGTGACAAAAATCCCCAAACTCAAGGATGAGAAAAGGCAGCCGTCGATAACCGACCAAAAGCCTTAGCCCGCGTCACAAATAGGCGATGGGACCTCCTTGAGATCATAGGACGATCCAGTAGGACTCCTTACCGCCCGAGGGACTATCGACCCCCTTGGCCGAAGCCTGAAAGAAGGATACCCACTCCTCGCTCAAAAGAAGTAAAGAGGATGAAAATAAAGGAGGGACAGCCGAAGGACCGCACACTTGCCGGCCAGAAGCGATATCCCCAAAAACAAAAGAGGGACAGTCGAAGGACCGCGCTCTTGCCGGTCTAAAGTGATATCCCCAAAGTACAAAAGAGGGAAGCCGATGAGCTGTGCACTCTCCGGCCTCGAGCATTAAAAATAAGATCCCCAAAATTGTCTAAGTACATACCAGGCAAATATTACGCATTACAGACGAAAGCGCTCAAAAAAGAAAAGGAAAAACCTGGGATAAATAATACCAAGGCAAACTCCCATGGCCGACGAGGTCATCCGGCTCTTCCCAGTGGTGAGCCTTCATCAGGGCACACATATAGCCGGTAGCGGACTGTAACACCCCGGCCCCGTAGGCCCCGAGGTAGTTACTCCATACTCTCTCCGGACCTCTAGTACTTTCCTCACAAACCGCCATTAGCCTTTTCCGCACACTTTGTCCTCACTCGTGCGCGCCCTTGGAAACTTCCCATGGGGTCACCCATCCCAAGACTACTCCCGTCCAAGCACGCTTAACTTTGGAGTTCTTAGTTAATGAGCTCCCTTAAAAGGAGATGCACCTTGTTGGTATGAGTAGTACTATTAATCCGTTTAAATTAAATCTCAAGTGTTACAATCACCCACACTTAGGAACGCAACGTCCTCGTTGCGCCCATAAACCAATCTCAAATCTCAATCAAATCCTAGAATCTTCCCCCGCTAAGTGCCCGCCCGATATCCAACGAGTCAACACACTGTCGCAGGGTTGCTCTGATACCATTTGTAACACCCCAGTCCCGTAGGCCCCGAGGTAGTTACTCCATACTCTCTCCAGACCTCTAGTACTTTCCTCACAAACCGCCACTAGCCTTTTCCGCACACTTTATCCTCACTCGTGCGCGCCCTGACAAACTTCCGAGGGGGTCACCCATCCCAAGACTACTCCCGTAGTCCCGTGCAAGCACGCTTAACTTTGGAGTTCTTAGTTAATGAGCTCCCTTAAAAGGAGATGCACCTTGTTGGTATGAGTTGTACTATTAATCCGTTTAAATTAAATCTCAAGTGTTACACGGACAACCCTAGTGGTGAGCCTTCATCGGCCACCCGTGAAGGAAGAAATCACCTAAGTCTGTCCAACACTTAGAACGATTTCCAAAATTTTCTAAGCTACACTTAGAGAATTCCACAAACATCGCATAGATGAAGCAGACATCCCCCCTCAGCCGAGCAAAGGACATGTCCCTTCATCGGCTACAACTACAGGAATCAGGCTTATGAGTTCTTGTTTAAACACTTGGAAAAATTACAAGTGAAACAAAAAGGAATGAGGAATGACACAAGATGAAGAATACACGGTGGCCAGAAAAGTACACATGCCGATAAAAACACCTCAGCGTAGGAAGCTATCCACACTGGCCGTATTGACCGACGAAGGCCCTGAACTAGAGGAACTACTTAGTTTGACACTTAGAAAATTTTCTGAAGTGTGAAAAAGGGGGGTAACGCCAGGACGAAGTGAACACTCAATCACTTGAAGTCTAACACTTAGAAAAAATTCTAAGGTCGTGCTAGAAGCAAGGGGTGTTCCTTATAGACGAAACATGCCCACCTAAGCTACCCGCTTCGGCCGCAGCCAGAGAAAACAACCAAAGAGAACAATTATCCAAGTCCCAATCTCAACACTTGGAAAAAATTTATAACACTTGAAAACAAAAGAAAAAGGAAAGAGCAAGACGAGGAGGACATCATAATATATAGCCGGAAGCAATGAATATTTTTCATTCATATTGAAATTCATTACACGAGGGGGGTCAACGGCCATTACAAAACCTGCCTAATTTACTAAACCACATGGCGAAAAGGCAGCCGATCAGCTCTCTGGGGTGACTTCATCAGCAACTAGCCCCGCATCGGCTTGCCCAAAAGCAACTTTGTTGCCCTCTTCCGCCCTTCCATCTCCACTTGCCTCGGCTGCTGAGGAGACATCGGTGTCAATATCGGGTCCTGCCTCTCAGAGGGGGGGGGGGGGGGAGCTTTGCTTCGGCCTCCGGGTCCTTCATCAACCTGGGAAGCTTCAAGTTCTTCTTGGCCCATTTCTGGGTAAGCTTCAACTTCTTGAAAGCCCGGTGCAGCCTCCGGTAGATCAGCCGTTGCATCCTCTGCTGGCCCATGTTGTAATAAACAAACATCTCCCGAGCAAAATATTATTGGCCAGTAGGGTAGTTCTGGCCCCAGTCTTCAAGACGATCCGCCATTACCTCGTAGCACCAGGGCCGACGGTCTTCAACCTTCCAGCCTTCGGTCAGGAATTTCTCAATAGTGCCGTCAACAGCCTTCTCAGCAGCCCTCTCAGATTCAGCCTGAGCCTTCGCGGCGTCCTCGGCCCGGAGCAGGGCTTCATCACGGCTTTTCAGGGCTTCATCCTTGGCTCTTAGAGCATCATCACTGTCGGCCGCCACCTGTCGATAGGCCACATCGGCCTCATCAACACCCTTCTACAGGGCCTTCACTTCTTCCCGGAGCCGATCCAGGCAGGCCATGGCCTCCTCGGCCGAAGCAGCTTTTTGCTCAGCCTCCTTCAGCCGGGCAATCTCCTGTTCTTGCCGCTTATGGCTCTCCATCAGCATAAGGGCACCCTGCAACAAAAAAAAGAGATTAGGACGAGGCGAAGACTCATGACAAAAAAATGCGCACGATACAAGGAACTTACTTGGACGATAAGGTCCATTCCGCCATCATAGATCCTGACAGGGCCAAGCTTCTTCAGGTAAGCCTGATCCTCGACCGGGACAGCTTGGGCCAGAACATCATGGCCGTCAACGGCGTCATTGAAGACGCCACCCTTCACAGGGTACTCGACTTCGAGCTTGTACGTCCCAACGGCTAGCTCCTTGCCGACCCTCTTTCTCCGGGGCTCTTGGCCAACAAGGGCGGCTGGGACATAGTAGTCGAGGAAGGGACCGAAACCGCATCAACAACGGCAACGGCATTGGAGCCCCCGACATCATCGGCCGGCATGGTCAGACCCCCGGCGTCAGCATCAGCTAGAGGGGAAGCCCTCTTTGTCTTCTTGGACTGCATTGGAGCCCCCGACATCTTCGTCTTCAGCTGCGTGGGTGGCTTCTTCGGCGCATCGGAGCTTGGCTGCACGCCGCTTGCAGCGGCCAGCTTTGCGGCCATTTTTTCCTTCGCCTTCGCTTTGGCAAGGGCCATAATGGATCTGCGATCCATTTCGAAGTCTGCACAACAAGGAAAACAAAAGAGGACAGTTAGTAGAGGAAAAACAAAACAAAGACAAGGACACCATGGAGGGTATTACCATCGGCTTCGGCGGGCACACCCATATCGGGGCCACCGACCTCTTCAAAAGTGGTGGTCATCCTCGGCCACATCGCGGTGTCGCTCTCCTTGTCACCATAGATGAAGTACCTGAAGAAGCCGAGGGTGGTCATTTTGTACTCCGTAATGTACTCCTTCACGCTCCTTGGCCCTCCTTTCAGAAATGCCGCCACCTGGGCATCCAAGATGCTGCTCTTCGGCACATCATGAAGGTTGAATCTACCGTCATGGCCGACGGAAGGAAACTCCGTACCCCCCTCACCCAAAGATACAAAGACAAACTTACTCTTCCAGCCATGAATGGACGAAGGAAGATCAGTAAAGGACCTTTTCTTCGACAACTTTTGAAGATTAGCATAGCCGGCACAATTCTTGTGGCTCCCTCGGCCGATCTGGTATAAATTCGTGAAAAGGTCCGTCATCGGCCTAAAGTCCAATTCATCGCATCGAAGGAGGAAGGTGACGATGAGTGAGTAGCTATTCGAGGTCAGCAAGGCCGGGGGGAGACCCACCATGTCCAAGTACTCCGTAATAAACGGGTGGAGGGGAAACCTAAGCCCCTTAGCAAAACTCATGGGGTATACTCCAAAGTACCCCGGAGGTGGATTCACCACATGATCTGATGGCCTGGGCGCCCTAACCCTTCCATACGGCCCCACATACATATGGGCCACCAGGTAATCAGCCGCGCTGCTCTCCTGGCCTGATCAAATAGATGTTCGTGAGGTCCAAGTAGGAGTAACCTGGACCCTTCTTCGGCCGACGCCTTCTCGTCGGTGCAGTCCCCTTCACAGCAGACACCGGCTTCGGGCAGGGAATCACAGTCGAGGTAGACGCTCCATCCACAGCGCGGGAAATCACTACGTCCTCACTCTCAGACGACGAGCCAGCCTCTTCGTCTTCACCTTCGCTACCCTCTTGCTCCCTTGATTTGAAGGAGCTCAAATCCTCTATCTCCTCACAACACTCCTCTACTACCCGGTAGTCAAGGGATTTAACGGAGGGCTCATCATCATATGGGTAATACTCATCGTCCAAGGGCTTCATCATAACAACTAACTAGAGCCTAGAGGGTTTTACTTTGGATCTAAGGGTGGTTCTCCACTAACAGCGGATCAAAGACTAAAAGAAGCAAAGTATGCAAGGAAGTGGAGAAAAGTTCAATGAATTGACCTTTGAAGTTTTGAAGAACGGAGGAACACACGGAAAGGCTCTCTCTCTATAAAATTTGGCAGCACCTCGTTATCTCAGGAATGCAATGAGGAGCCTCTTCGGAGGGAGAGGGGTATTTATAGACCCCCCCCCAACGGTCACTACACGTGGCACATACCCGTTGGCCACATGAACGGCCACCACCCCCAAGGCCCATTGGGCTGGTACCGTTTCAGGAGGCGGGCCAGGCCCACTTCCACAGTACCAGCCCATCGCCAACATGCCAGCAATCAGCACCCGCAACGGCCAGCCACTCAACGGCCACACTAAGAAAGCGCGCCTACATCGGCCTCAACACAAAGATAACCTCAAAAGGGTAGGTCACATCTCAAGGTATGTCCATATCGGCTTAAACAGAATGCCAACATCATGGCCTTTTCAACGGCCACAACGGTAAAACAAAAAGAAACCCCACGCCATCAGCCTTGTGTAAAACCCTGATGATAATTTCTTGAAAGCGACCCGCGTCCAAGGGTTCTCCCACAGGGTTACCTTGGTCAGGAAATCGCCAAGGAACTGGATTCAGGGGAATACAAAAGTTCGTTTCGGCCTAGGGAAATCCTTTACTCCTTCACCCCTCGATTACTCTTCGGCCTGAAGCAGTGGGGGACTGGGGGACTACTCCGACCTTTGAAAATCAGGACAAAATCAAAGAAATCCGAAAATAAACTAAGTCCACAACTACAACATCAGATCATGTATGCACCACAACGTCCATAACCTTGTCGTGCACCATCGGCCACAGCAAAGTAAGCAGACAAAGAATTCCCTCCAAAGATGCAACACCCAAGACCACAGTGCACTCAATGGCTTTGAGACCGCATACTCCACTCTCGGCCAGAAATTAGGACGGGAACTCATCGTCCTCAAAACATGGACACCAAGCTGCGAACACCATCACTCAGCCAAAGACACAAAATGAGAGCCACAACGGCCAAATAAAGCAAACATCACCCTCACCGGCTACCCGGAGGAAGAAGGACACTCATCGTCCTCGAACAAGAAATAACCACAATGGTCTCCTCGACCATGAATGCAAAGTTCAACCATCAACGGCCACTCGCGTAAGAGAACGCTCATCGTCTCCACCAAGCAAAGGCACTCGTCGTCTTTAAAAACCAAAACATGCATCATCTAAGGCCCTCTTCGTCTACAGCAAAGACCACACAACGGCCAGAACGCAGTACACCCGTAACAATGAAAATCAAGGACTAGAGCAAAGGGTGCCCGTAACGGCCAGGACTCCATAGCGGCCCCACGACGGCCAGGGAAAAGTCAACACCAGGGACTCTACTCTCCTTCACTTCATCTTCATCTCAGCTCAGAGAGTGGGGGACTCCTGATGGAGTATATGGGCCTGGACCCCAGGGCCCACATACTCGGGAGAACAGAAGGTACCACGACCCTCATCGGCCAGATGACCCCCATCGGCCAGAAAGAAGTCCACTCAGAATGTGATCCAGAAGTCGGGAAGAGCCGGGTGACCTCATCGGTCGGGTCTTCGTCGGCCATGCCCTCGTCGGCCATAGACAGTCTCCAGGACAGGATTTACACTTAATCTTTTCTATGTACTTTGTATCTGGCCCATTAATGGCCCTGTTTTAGATGGGCCTCCCAAGCCCAAGACTTGGGAGCCCAGCCCAAGACTTGGGAGCCCAGCCCTAATTGTTCCTATAAATACTCCCTCTGGGAGTAGTTGTAAGGGTTCACGATTGATTAATACAGAGCAAATATACTACTTCTCTCTCTAGCTCTCACTTCTCTCTAGACTTATAGTCCATCAGAGTCCCTCACTCATTTCTTGACGAGATGGAGAGATGAGACCCTGAAGGCCGAACAGCTGTCTGAATGCACTGATATCACTCTCTTTACCAATGCCCTCCAGACCGGGGAGTTGTATCGAGATTTGAAGAAAGATATGGGCACCAGTTACGCAGAGGTACTAAACAAGGCCCGGAAGTATGATGCCATTGAGGAAGAAATCACGATAAGAGACAAAATCACTCCACCTGCACCTTTGAAGTTGGCCGATTGGCTTGGGCCGATCCCAGCAATTGCACCATTCCCCAAGCCTAAACGCTTTACCCCACTTGTCCTCTCAATCGCCTCCATTTATCATTACAATAAGGATATCATTCCACCCCCATCGGACCTTAATGCCTATATGGGGAATGATGATACATACTGTCAGTATCACAAGCAAAAGGGACATGCAACCAAGTAATTTCGTGCCCTCCAAATAGCCATTGAAGAACTCATCCAGCAAGGCCACCTGGGGAAGTATGTGAATCATAACCCAAACGGGCCTGTGTCAACCCGTCGCCAGAACAAGAGACCTTATAGCTGGAGGATGCATGATTGACGGGAGGCCGAACCACGAAATGATGAACACATCTAACACAATGAGAAGGCCAAAGGATCGGCGGCCCAGGGGAAGAAACCGGGGATACCCCGGCCGAACGGAAACAGTTCGAACGGTCACTATATGTTGCTTCTATATCCACCCCTCCCCAGAAGAGAAGCAGAATTGAGCCTATCACCTTTGGCCCCGCTGACCTGCCTAGCTCACTTAGTCCACACATGGACGAGCTCGTGGTGAGCATGGATATTGATAATACCCTCATCCGTCGGGTTTTGGTGGACACAAGAAGCAATGTAAATGTTTTATACCTACATGTGTTTGAAAGGATGGAATTGAGCAAAGATTAGTTAACCCCCTTGAAAACACACTTGACCAGTTTCACAGGAAATTGCATTGACGCAGAAGGCACCATATCTCTCTCGGTCGAGATCGGGGATGGAGAACACTGGGCGGCAATCCACATGACGTTCGTGGTGATGGACATCAAGTGCGCCAACAACGCCATATTAGGTGGGCCTGGATTGGAAGATTTGGAGGCAATAACCTTCGTTCGACATTCATGTATAAAATTCCCAACAGGCACGGGAGTGGGGGTGGCCCGCACAGACCCCGCCACAGCCCGAACATGTTATCGGGAAGCATTGGAGTTGATCAACACTCACGACTTGTGGGTAAACAACATTATAGAAACAACACGACGGACAGAGTTTGTAGCACGACCTGGACCTGCCACTAACTATGCTTGAACAAATTGAACTTGAACCTGCCACTATGCCGAACTTGAGGGAGTGTTCTACTAAGGGAGGCCAAAAACTTGTAGGTTTTAGGCCTCTTTCATTTAAAGTGCTTCCGAGTCGAATTTTGTAATGAAATTTTGTGAGCATATTCTCCATGAAGTGTAAGTTATGTCCACCAAATTTCAACTTAAAATTCAATCGTGAAATTAGTTAACTAAATTGTTGACAAAAAGTGCATGTTATATGTATAAAAAACTGCCCAATTTTTTTTTAAAAAAAATAAGTGACTTCCCGGTTAAATTTTAATCTGAAATTTGGTATATATTATATATACTTCAGGGAGAACATTCTCACAAAATTATGAATATTTTCCTCTATATATACCAAGTTTTATATATATAGAGGGAGAACATTTCCCTGAAGTATATATTATATATACTTCAGGGAGAATTATGAATATTTCTCTGAAGTATATATTATATATACTTCAGGGAGAACATTCCAGTATATATATTATATATACTTCAGGGGTTATATATATATTCAAGCCCGCCCATTTTTGCAGGCGGGTCGGGTGCATTCCAGTATATAAGCCCAAGTTTTATATTCACAAAAATTATGAATATTGCCCTGAAGTATATATTATATATACTTCAGGGAGAACATTCCAGTATATATATTATATATACTTCAGGGGTTATATATATATATATATATATATATATATATATATATATATAAGCCCGCCCATTTGTGCAGGCGGGTCGGGTGCGGCGGTCCTTTTTTATGCATGTCTACTGGGTAGTTACAAGAGAATAAGTAAGAGATTCAAAACATAGTCCATAAAATAATTGAAAGAAATCACATATTAACAACTCTTATGTTCGGATTCTCTATGTTGCATGCGATAGAAATCAAATTACCAGTTCAAAGAGAACGCCTCCAAAAGAATTGCTAGATTTGATTAATGGTAAAGACAAAAAATCTAAACACTTCTCACATAATATTCGATCATATAACCCCCGAATTACTTGAAACGGTCCTTCTTCAAGGCCAGGGCCCAAAAATCTGAAAAAATTAAGGGTCCCAAATTTTATAGATACGTATTTGGTGGCATAAAATGTCCACGACCCGCTAAACCTCATGTGACGATTTGAGAATGAACTCGAGCAATGCGATCTGCGAAGGAGTGAGGGACGACTGAGTCATCGGAAGACGTGGATAGAATTGGAAGGGCTTCGAGCTTGATTTTTTGGAATCGGCCAAGCCCGGGCCCGGTCTGGCCCTAACCACTACTTTTCCAAAAAAAAAAAATAGAGGGTGGGCCTAACCCTTCACTTTTCCAGTACCGCAACCCGTCGGGCCCAACCCAACCCGAATCCAACTCTACTTCTACCATCCACAATCATCTTGGGTCCCTCTTTCCCCGAAACTCCTCTTGCCTAGGGTTGGACCGGTTCCGGGCCGGGCCGGGCCTAACCGGGCTTTTTTTGGAGGAAGTGAGGCCCGAAACCGGCCCGGGTAGCCAGCGGTTCCGGGCCAAGCCAGTCCGATTCAATTTTATTTTTTTTTCTTTTGCTTTTCTAATTAACCCCCAACCTCCCACCCCCCACCCCCCACCCACCCATCCCTACCCGAGAAAAACAAAAAAAACATTGAAAAAACAAAAAGAAAAAAGAAAAAGGCCCGGGCCGGGCCGGTTCACTATATTTAATGCCCGTACCTGCCCCCCCCCCCCCCCCCCCCCCCAAATCCCCAGGCCGGACCTAGGCCCGGAACCGGTTACCCAAAACCGGGCCGGGCCAGGCTTGCACAATAGCGGGCCGGGCCGATTCATGGCCCGCGCGGCCCGGGCCCGTTCCATCCCTACTCTTGCCCCAAAAGGGCCCACCTTACCCCCAACCGTGGGTTCCTCCACTGCCATGGCCCCCATCAGGCTTCTCTCATTTATTTAATCATTACATTATTCATCGCTGTCAAAAAAATAAGGGTCCATATCTATAAAGAAAAATACTGAATGAATTTCACTATAATAGAAAATATGACTGTTCGTCAGTCTAAAATTTAAATGAAACAATTAATCAAATTCAAACAAGAAATCCAGTCTCTAGCAGGAGTAGCAGCACTGATTCAATATCACACGAGGAGATGTTTTACTTTTCCTCCCTTTTGGCCTCTTCTACACAGTTTCTTGTGAATGATAGTTTTATAAGACAGAAAACTGGGTTGTTTGTGAAGGTAAAAAGCAAATATAAACACTTTTGATGACAATAATTAATAATTACTGCGACTCACTTCCCCACCAAACTGTATTTGGGGGAATCTATGTACATTTCATGCACTCTTAAATATGGGCAACTAAGCAATTAGTTCAAGAACAGAAGGTATGAACATGTAAACAAAAAAAATCATCTTCTCACTTTTGTTTCTAGTGTTGCCGATGGCTGCTGGGAACCTGTGCCACCAAGTGCAGCAGCGGCTGATTCCACATGTGTAAGCAAATACTCATATATCTTCTTTCTTATCCTGTCGATAGTATCGGAGGAGATACGGGATGCTTCCTCAACGTCATCGCCCGCTTCATTTCCTCCAATGATCTGATCCAACCAGTCATTCACACTCTTAAGCTGAGTCAGCATGCCAGCTATTTGTCCATTATCTGACAGAGCCGCGATGTCCACATCGGCATCAAGAAACTTCTCGACAAATCCTAAAAACCAGTCTTGAGACTCAATCCGCAGCATCTGGGCCAAATCAACTGCCTCACCAAGCCCATCCCCTCTCGCCCATTCTCTTGGGGGCAATGTGGGCTTTGGTTTCTGGCCAACATCGGATAGCCGACGTGGAGTTGTTCCTGAAGGAGCGTTCTTTGACTGACGGGATTTGGGTTGTGACTTTGCAGCTGAAGCTTTGGCAGCAGTGTTGCCAAGGACTAGTATTGAGGTTGGAGAAGGGTTTGCTGAAGTGGTCGCTTGCTTGGTTGTGGTGGGGGTGTATAGCGAAAAAGGTGACAAATTGGTGGCTAAAGCAGCATTGATCCATGAAGAAGCTGCTTGTTTGCGTTTCTCTGATGTTAACTTCTCTGCTTCTTCACAAGGCGGTTTTTCTTCCTCTTCGTGATCTGCAGCAGTAGTGCTCTTGGCTAGAGCATCAGCAACCTGCCGGGCACTATTCAGACTAGAATGTAGGGCCAAGAACTGCTCTACCACTGGTTGTGGGTTATCCTCTCTTGCAGTTGTGCTCAGTTCAGAATATGTACTGCCACCCATCACAATGGCAATATTACATTATTAGGGTTTCATTTAAAACACGGAAAATGCTAGTGAAATAAAATAGGGAGGATACTACGGTAAAACTTAGAAGGAAATCAAATGCGAGGAAAAAATGGTTCTCAGTGTGTCAAAAGTCATTTTATTTTTACATTTCTACGGTATAAAGTACTCTATAGAGACCAATTTTACAATACATTTCCTAATAATAATATTGTAATAGAATTAAGGTTACTCTACTAGACCACCAAGACTCTTGGGACTAGTATAAATAGAAGTGACATCAATCTTTTGGAGAAATAAAGATCATCAATTAAATTGGAGAAGTGACTCTAATAGAATTAATGAAAGATCGTCAATCTTTTGGAGAAATAAAGAAAAGTACGCTATAGAGACTAAGTAATTCGAAAGTATGTAGCATTTTAAAAGCTCCAATTAAATTGTATTTTCTTTAGTACATCTCCGCCGCATGGCCCTCACCATCTTTGGAACATGAGGAAGTGACATAAATAGTAAGGAAGTAGAAATATGATATTATATTGGATTTGTATAGGGTGAACGAGTTTTAACGTCACAAGTATTACTGAATGTAGTATGTGAAAAACCTTGCAGGAAGGGCGAACAAGTAAATATTTTGATATGGTGGAGCGGAGAGTAATTCCTAAAGTACAATAAAAAATGTAAAACTAAAAACTGTTTTCCTTAGCATCGCTTTCCTTTACCTACTATTTTCTGTGTACCAAATATAGCTTTAAGGTTTTTTCTAAACTTGGGAACAGCACATAAAGGAAAAAGAGAGAAATTGGATTCAATTTTTGAAGGAAGACAAAACAAGGTTCGAACTTCAAACTCAATGAATCAATTATATATTCACGTTCATTAAACTTATTTCCAAAACTCACTATTTTGGAGTCAAAGACTCACTATTTTTTGCCTTGGGAATATGATGGAATAAAGCAAAATGACTCACTAAACTGTCTGCGCTTCTTTTTTAAACTATACTACAGCGGCACAGCCAAGCAAGGTCAAGATTATCTCCTATAAGCTTTTCTAAGCTCCTGATTGAGACTTACAGGAGCAGAAGAGCTGAATGCTTAGGAGGGGACAGTTGGAGACGAACGTAATTGAAGGCTGAGTTGTGACAGTAGTTGTCGAAGAACCAGAGAAGATACGACGTATTTTTTAAGCTTGGGATGAGCTTTACGTACTTAGGTTTTAGTATTGTTACTTTTTACTATAAAAACCCTACTTTACCCCTTTAAAACTGATAAAACCCAAAAATACCCCTAAATATATTGTGCAGACCATTCAAATTTCAGTAGCACCGCTATAGCGTCTGCGACAACCGCTATTGTGCCCACTATAGCGGCTGCTATTTCGGCAACAGCCACCCGCTCGTGACAGTCTTGTAGCACCAGGATAGCGCTCTGCCCCGCCCCGTTGCTATAGTGCCGCTATTGAGCAGGAATGGGCATTATTGACATCACTGCATTATAAATGTAGAATCTTAAATTATTTTTATCGTAATTAATTTTCATATTTGATTATTTTCCAGGGTAAAAGCAAACTTAAGAGAATACTTTCCATCAAGATGTTTTTCCTTCCTACTATTTACCGTGTTCCTAAATGGTTGCGAGATCATAAACACTTTGAGCCAATTAGCACAAGGAAACATCCATGGCACACAACAAAACAATCAAAACCCAAATATATATGGCAATGTAAACAAAAAAAAAATGAACAATTCAAAGTACCATTGACTAAAACCATGCATCTCACAGACTTCAAATATGTACATGCAAAACCAAACTTTAATATATCAGACTCGTTAAACAACATGTTCAAAATGTTGCTACTCTAACAGGGAAAGAACAAAATCTAAATGCTAAAAGACTCATGCATGAGGAGATGCTTTACTTTGAATAGGAAAAAGCAGTCCAACGAAAGAATATTATAAGCAGTAGGAATGATTTCAAACTCTGAGATAGATAGAGATACCTTAAACATCTGAGCAAATTTTCAGCAACAGAAGCCTCTTGTATTGCTTCAATTGCCGATATCTGAGCAGCATCTCTGTACTTCATAACCTCCTGTAATATTTATATGGACTCATTAATTATAGCATGCAAAACAATAGTATAACCATGCAAATGTGCAATATCAAATATGAAGTAATAAATTATATGTTCAATAATAACTCCATGTTATATAATATTTTTTTACGTTTCAGAATAATTGTCATGTTATTTTTCAGCTTTGTTCCCAAACATCAGCCAAGGAGTACCCAAACAGACGTGGATTAGAGGAATCATGGGCGATATGCTTCTTCTTGGGTTGCATGATAGTATGGCTTTAGAGAGAGCAAAGTAGAGGGCTCATCAGTGGCAGACCCAGAAACTCAGAATCACGGGGTCCCTACTGTAATGTAACTCTAATTAATAACAAGAAGAAGTAAAATATTAAAATAGCATAACGTTTCATAGTTAGGGTATACACCAATTTTAAAGATATTCCAAAATTTTAAAGAAATGTCTACTATCAACCAGAGCCCGTTTGGTAACACTGAAATCGGCTGAATCGGTTGATTCTACTGAAATTTATAAAGTTCTGACTGAAGTGGCTGTATTGGCTGTTTCTGCTGATTATGAAAAATTATATTTAAAATATATTATATTAATAAAATAAAGAAAAAATGATATGAAAAAATAGATAAAATGGTCAACTACAACAACTTCAGTCAATACAGCCTGAAAAGTTACTTCAACCTTATTTTTCTTATTATTACATAATTTAGCGCACAAAATCAAAAGTTACATGTTTGGTTAAAAAGTTGGTTGATAAATCGAAAAACAGAGTCACTAAACGGGCACTGAAATTTTACAAAGTTAATGTCCTCTATCAACTAAAAATAATGGGCATGCATATGAGAAATCAAATTTAAAAAGCCTACATTTGAAAATTTCGATCCAATTACTTCGCAATATTTTATTTGAATTTTTATTTAAAATATATTCATTAGCTTTGTTTCTATTTTAATTTAATACAATTACCAATTTATTTGTTTAACTTTAAGGACTTTGTTATTGGACCGATTTTAGTCTTAGATCAAACCACATCAAGCCAAATTATACGATTATGGCTCAAGCGACTGAATCTGCTATATTAGGAAAGAATGATATTTAAATTATATGTTATAAGATATGAAAAAGTCATATGAAAAGGTGGCTAAGATGATGCTCTTACGGTAACTTCAGTCATCTCACCGAAAAAATGTTTTTAACTTGCTTATTTTAATTATTACAAATTTAGTGTGTGAATTCAAGAATTACGTGTTTCATGATCAAATTAGTTTATAAAACAGATAAGTTGAAATTCGGGGATACATACTGGTTTTGTAGTAGTATTTGTTATGAAAAAAATTGGGCAATAGGATAACAATAGGTGCGCACGTACAAAAAAGTGGCCATAATTTTATTTTCAAAAAAGTGGACGCCTGGGGGGAATCGATCGTTCGACCTCCGCACGTACAAAGCCTTGGAATTGGGCCTCCTACCATTGCTCTAGCTCCGTAATTGTGTTCTTAGCCAGTTTTGATTGTATAAATACTTATTTCTTAATTTTATATAAAATATATACAAATATATATAGGTATTTTTTTGGAGGTCCATGGGGTCCCGGGACCCCGTGGGACCCTTAGTGGGTCCGCCACTAGGGCTCATATTAGCGTGGAGGATTGATCACTTTTCTCTCTCTTTTTCTTTTAGCTTTTTATCTTCTTTATCTTTCTTATTTCTTTTATCTAATATTTATCTTTATTTTTATCTTCACACTTTTATCTTATCCTTTTTATTTTACCTTATATTTTTTTTTTCTTTTTGGCTCCGATATCTTGGATAGGTTCATGTTAGTTGAACCCAAAATCTTTAGGGAATAAGGCTTGGATGTTGTTATTGTTGTTCTTAAGCATCAGTCGTGTAATAAATTCATGCGTAATAAAAATGATTTCAAATAGTTCCAAGAAAACTAGTTGAGGGTGATTGAGGTGTAATACTTACTTTTTGCAAGATTATAGATATTCAATGAGTTTCTTAATATGTGTTTATTCCTTAAAAATAGTTAATGTGAAAATGGAGGGTGAAACAAACTAAAAATAGAATTACATAACTAAAGTTGTTTACTCAAATATAATATTTAAATCTTCTTTTTCTGCAAACTTTGATTTTTCTCCAAAATATCCATCATATCATTACATGAATCAAATTGAGGTGAATAAAAAAGGGAAAGACATCCAAAAAAATTAATGCTGTTCTAGACAAGTATTATTATTGTAAATTTTATCACAAACTTAAGCCTCCACAGAGTATATACTTCGGGAACGGTAGAGTAAGAAACTACAACAAGAATTCTAAGGCGCAAATATTCAGTTAGAACTTAGAAGATGGAATGAATGTGAGATGAAAGTAGCTGCAAACAAAAAGTCTAGCAAGTACAGTGACACTACCTTTCCAAGCTTTGTGAGAGAAGATGGCAGGGGAGACCAAGAAATGCTTCCTTCGGTCATCCTCCTATTATTGATGGGAACTTTTACCAAATTTCCAGGCAATCCATTAGTGACCTCCCCACATAACTTCTTCACAGGAGAAGTTTTTAACTTACTGGAACTCTCTAAATGTATAGGGTCTCCTTTTGTAGAAACCTTTTTAGTGCATGGACTTCCACTTTCCTCTTTTAATGACGCCTTTACAGAAAGTTCTTTGTTTTCTTCCCTTGATGGCATCCTCTCACTTGTTGGTTTTCTTGGAGCCTGATCAGCAGGAAATATTACATGCATAATATTAAGATTCTAGGCTGAGTTCTGACATATTTTTTTATAGCCAATATAGTACTTTACAATTGAAACAGAGTCACACTTTTCAAGAACAAACTAAGGTATTTAAAATTTTAATATCTAACTGCTCAATACCCAGTAGAGACTATGAGTGCATTTGGGATAATTTATTTTTGAATAATAAGCCACTTCAGATGAAGATAAGTACTTTTACTTCAAAATTAACTGTTGGGTGGGAAATTTGAAAAAGTGATTTTAGCTGTAAAAACACTTTTCATGCTTTTTTAAGAAAGTAACATTAAGTGTGTTTAGATGATATATCAGTACATCACTTTGATCAAGAGCACTTATACCACAAATTATTCTGAACATGCTCTAACCAAAGTTCCAAACAACATGAGAACATCATAAGAAAATTAAAAATTAACCTCTTATGCTACAAGGAAAACACTTTTCATGCTTTTTTAAGAAAGTAACATTAAGTGTGTTTAGATGATATATCAGTATATCACTTTGATCAAGAGCACTTATACCACAAATTATTCTGAACATGCTCTAACCAAAGTTCCAAACAACATGAGCACATCATAAGAAAATTAAAAATTAACCTCTTATGCTACAAGCTTATAGAAACTGATGTGTCAACCACTCTCACCTAATATTGCATATAAGGGATACTTCGAACCAATGTACCCACAATGAATGCTTCGATGTAACCAAGAACGGAATTAAAAAGCATTTTTTGGAAGATTAATAAATTACTACTTTTAGAATATACAGAAAGTGACTAACCGAAGTACTCCGAGTTTCAGGCTTTGAGTCGCGCTTGATAACCTTCAGTCTGGGACTTTCTCTACCTCCCTTCACTTCCATGTTCCCTCCTTCCCAACTCTTTCTCAAGGCCTTAGGCCCTAAAAATTCAATTCCTAGTCCCATACTCTTTGCAGAGGGATTCCCACGCAACACCTTTTTTGTAGTTGGACTGGTCCCTCTAGTTGAGCTTGACTTCTCCAACCTTTCCAAACCCTTGATTTTTGCTTGATGTTTAACTCCATTCGCAAACTTTTCAAAAGAATTTGGTAATGAGTAACAGCTTGTCGGGGATGAGGGTATTGATTTCGAACTAGATGACTTATTAGACTTCATTGGAGAATCCTTCCTCTTATCGCCTATTAAATTCAACGTCAGCTTAGACAATTGAGACTTTGATTTAGACAATGCAGGAGCTCTTTTCTCCCTTTTCTCTTCTTTAGCACCACCACCACTAGATCTTAAAACGCCAGATTTACTCACCACAGAATGAGATTTACTAGCCTTGTCTTGAAATATATTAGATCCAGGATTATTATTATTGAGGAAACCTAAAGGATTAGCAGCAACTATATCCTCAGGGGTGCCAACACAAGGGTGTCGACCCGGGAGAGGCCTAACCCCCTTAAGAATAGGCACGGGTGAGGAAGCTTCAAGCCTCTCAACGTGAATAAACTGGCCCAATTGGATCTTATCACTGAGTATGAGATCATGTTCTTCATCAGGCAAAGAAACATAAGTGGCGTGAGAGGAGTCTGATACCTTTAGGTAGAAGCCTTGGTTTGGGAATAGATCTCTGCCTGCAAGCGCAGGAACAATGCTCACAACTTGCAACAGTGATGATCGGTGCTCTCCTGCAACTTTTACATCGGTGTTCATATGCTGAAGAAGCTTCAACAGAACCCCGGGCACTAGGGTCGCCATTGCTGAACCAAGGAGCAATTGATGAAGAAATTATACCCAGATTGGCTTACCGAACTACCGGATTTCAGATGTGGGTACACGCAAAAAAAGGATTTTGAAAGGAGATTTTACACTCCATACCCTATTACGAGAAAAAAGGGGGTTGTCATACACCTATGGATTCCTAAGAACTAAAATCATGCAAGTACAACTCAAACAAGTAGGAAAGTCGTGACTTTTTTAAAGTCCCAACGGTGTTTCTTTATTAACAGAATACAGTAAAAGGATAGGAGAATAGTAACTGTAGAGAGATTTGCTACCAAATCAGACTAATGATTCGAGCTCAAGAAAGCAGTTTTTGGGTAATACTTCGTATTAAAGGGGTCAATGATGGCGCAAGGAGAATAGTAATCTTCATTTATTACTACTACGTATATTATTATTCTATACTCCTTTTAAAAAAGATCCTAAGTTGACTAAGAAATAACAATACGTATGGCTTTTAACATGTCTTTTGTGTTAGGGGTTTTCCAAAAAATAATGTATAGCTTTGACATCAATATTACTAAAAATAGAAAATGAACAAAAAATAATAATTTTTAATTTCAAAAATTGTGGCTAAAAAGACTAAAGGGACTGTTACACTCTCATTAAGTTCAAGGGACTTGAGAAATGACAGATGATACAATAACCAATTGTCTCAACAGTGACTAACACCGGAGTGATCAATGACTTAGTGATCACCACATGTCATAGTGACCACTGCTGGTCAAAGTGGCTCTTTCCGAGCAGTTTCGGTTATAATCGTCGAATAACCTAATTTTCAACCGTCTACGCCGCCTCAACCAGTCACCACTGTCGATAGCGACTCCAGTGATAACCGCCTCGATGGTGTCCACCGTCACCCAGTGCTGACCACCCCACTCAGGTAATGACAGTCACGACCCTCTCTTCCACCACATGCACAGTCCTGTCCCAGCCCCCTAGCCTCAGTGACACCACCATGATTTGAACTGGGTGTGCCTACCTTAAGGCCAATGATGTCATTGACTCAGAGCTCCATAAAAATTAGAAACATATGGAAGCCAAAATTTATAGGTATACATGCATATGTTTATCACCTTTAACATAATTTCACTCCTTTTCGTATCTGATGGAGTATATTCCCATATACCCTAGAGGTATCATAATCGCCGATGAGAAAGCATCACAGAGCCACATCAGAGTACGTGAAAAGACTAAGTCCATAATCGGACCGATCCCGACCCCAACCGACCAAGGTCAGGAATGAGCGTCAGACAACAAAATAACCACGGGCCAAAAGGTCATCCCGACCCCGACCTTGAGGTCGGGAAAACACCGGGCTCAGAAATGGGCCCAACTCGGCAAATTATGAGCCCGACCTCGAATGTTCGACCTCGGTATCAAGCCCGACCTCAGAGGTCAAGCACATAGGCAGCCAGAGTCAAAGTATCAAGCGGCTAATCACCTCAAAGGAAGAACAATAGACAGAAGGCGGGTCCCCTCACGATGAGCCCGAGTCTCCAATCATTGGCCCCGGTAGGGCTCAAGGTCAGGCCAAGGTATTATGTACTTGTACAAATCCTCAAGGAGCAGCACCGCAAGGAAGTGCTGCCACGTCATCACCAGCAGTGGGTAAAATGCCAGGATGCACACGCTTAGCCACATGGATATTCTGGTAGCAGTTTGTTAGAGATTATTTCAATCACCTAGTTGTCCAAGACTATCTCTCCAATCACCTTTACACGTGGCGGCTCCCCATCGAGTTAGACTGGTAATTTGTCAGAATAGATTTACACGTGTCTCCTTCCCATTAGATCAACATCTTTTTACTTGGGTACCAAGTATTGCCTTTTATCTCTTAGTATAAATATCACCTTCCAGCTTGTGGAAAGAGATCGCATTCTAAATTCCCTTACTGTTATACTGCCGGATTTTCTACCTACATTTTCCGATCAATTCACTCTCTCATTTTACTTGGATTCTGACTACCCATGTCCGGTGATCCATCAGTATCTAACCGTTTTCTTAAGTATATCAGAATTTATTATATACATCTCCCAACCATAATATGTCAATTTTTGAAATTAGTAATTATTGTACCATTATTTGTTGTTGGCTTGTTGTCGATTATTTGTGACTTTTAATCGAAAGATGCATTTGTTTCTATATATACAAGTTAGATGCTCGCATTTAGTTGATTATTTTTATAATTGGTCAAAATGGTACACGAATTTGTTTCAAGTGGAGTAAGTAGTATTCCATCTTACACTTGAAACTACAAAGTACATGAACTTGCATTTCTAAAGTCGATTAAGTACATTTGCTCTGTTAAAGCGTTAAAGTAGTTGATCTGGCCAAACTATCAGTTTGTAATATATCGTCTCAGTGCAAGTCTTCAAATAATTAATCTACAAACTCTAATTTCTTCCAGTTCACTTGTTTCCACCTTCGCTCTTCATTTTATATTTCTCACATTTGCTCTCCCTTCTCTCGCTCTTCATCTTATATTTCTCTCGTCTCCTCTCCAAGAGCGGAGCCAGGGCACTAGACCGGACTGGAGCAATACAAAGAATATTTTTGAAAAAAATACACCAAGCCATCGAATCGCCTTGATCACCAATTGATGGAGTATATGGCCCGGGAACCCCCGGCCCACAGACTCCTACTACTCCAGCAAAGGCCCAACAGGCCCAACAGGCCCAAGTCACAGCGCCCAGAGTACCAAGCAGTCCGCACAACGCACAGGGGTGCCTTCGGCCCCCTGGCCGAAGGCTCCAAATTGTCACAGAGCGGGTGTCTCAAGCAAACTAAGAAACTGGGAGAAAACGGCGAAAACAGCAGCCCTCGGCACTGTAAGCCCTCGACACCAGGGGTGCCATCGGGAGGGAGAGCCCTCGGCTACTGCTCTATAGCCGAAGGCATCTCACTCGACAAGATATCCGCTTCACATGCGTACAGATCACCGTACTCTGCACAGACGTCCCATCCAACAGCCGCATTAAATGCGGCCACATGCGGCTGCCAGCGCCAACCAGTAGAGGTGACCCCTCAGCCAATGAGCGCCTGACACGTGTCCCTACCCGGCATTTATTGCTACTATAAATAGCACCCCATTTCCCCATTTGTAACCACGCAAAATACATATTGAATATACACTCTCTCTCTTACTTGTTCGCTCTGACTTCTCTCTAAGTTATTCCCCGTAATAACCCTTCGGATATATACCCCCGGGTAGACTATCCATCATTTGGTGCTCTCGTTGAGAGGTTGAACAATCGAGTAAGAAACCCTCCCCCTCGACCAAACACAAACACTAGCCCTCTATCAAAATGGTGAGGACAACACGTGCCAACTCAAAGAACGTAGAAGACAAGAACCTGCCCCTCGGCGACGTCAACGCCCCCGAAGCCTCTCACAGGGCTCCCGAGGGCGGTGTCCTCGCTGGGCTGGAACAGGCGGCTGTCGACCTACGCCTTCAGATCCAACAAAACGCCCCCGATGCCCGCCTCGGCATCGAGGCCAAGAAGAAAAACCGGAGCGATGACCAAGTCAGCCCTCCGGTTCTCACCATCGACGTACAATCGGCGCTCTCCGCCTTCATCCAAACGCTCACCCAGAACCCGGGTGCCTTCGGCACCCTGGCTCCAGCTCACCCTCAGATCGGGGAAAATATCATACTTCCCCCTCTGCCACACCCCTTCGGAAATCCCACCCCTCGGGTAAGGAACGACGAAGGGGTGGTGGCCCAAGATACATCCTCCCAGGAAGTTCAGTCCCGGGACCGCCATTATGACAACAGGGAGAGGCCCCGTACTTCCGCCCTCAACCGGCTCGGAGGAGGGCCAGACCGCCGAGGGGTCCAAGACCGCCTCGGGGGGAAAGCACTCCAAAGGCCCCAGGAAAGCGGGGGATCTGTTTCGAGGGCAGACGAGGAGCGTCCCCCTCGGGACAAAGGCAAGGCACCCCTTCATGCCGATGATGCCCGGCACCAAATCAACCAGGCCCACTCGGCCCGGGTTCGTTCGCAGGGGGCGGAGACCCTCCCGAGGGATCCCCGGGACGAGATTATTGCGGCCCTCCAACGCCGGCTCGACGAGATGGAGTCCAACAAAGCTCACGCCACCACCTCCACCCCTCACTCAGACCTCAAATACGAGGCCATGATGGCCAAAATGGAGGAATTACAGAAGAAGGTGGCCGAGGGCTCCGGGGAACCCGTCATTCAGCTCCGGACTCGGACGCCATTTACCCCAAGGGTATTGGCGGCCCGGATCCCGGAAAAATACCGAGGGCAACACATACAGCCCTACAGCGGGAAAACGGACCCCCAGGAACATTACAGCAAGTACCAGAACAGCATGATGATGGTGGGGGCGTCAGACGAATATTTGTGTCGTTGGTTCCTCTCCACCTTAGAGGGACCAGCATACGAATGGTTCAACAGGCTGCCCGAGGGCTGCATTGATTCGTGGCAAGAACTCGCCCAACGATTCTTGACACAATTCGCCGGGAGGCGTCGCACAAGGAAGCACTTCTCCCACCTCCTAACAATACGCCAAAAGAAGGATGAGACCCTTCGGGATTTCCTAGAGCGCTGGAGGATGGAGGCCGACAAGGTCGACGGTGCTGACGACGGGACCCTCCTGGCCCTCCTACAAACCGTCCTTCGCATCGGCAACTTTTCCAGGAGCCTCATTATTGAACCTCCCCGCGACTACATAAGGGCCTTGCAGCGGGGGGACCGGTATGCTGAGGCCGAGGAGGTGGAGAAATATCACCAACATTCGGACCAGCAGCCCCCGAGGGCTGACAACAAGCATAACCGAGGGCCGGGGGCTCCTCCAAATCGCCCCAAGACTTCGGGACCCTCTGATGACCGCCCTCGGCAAAGCCAAGCCAAGCCCGGGGGAGGTTATAAGAGCAACCCTAAGACTTGGGCCCAGCCCATCCTCCTGGACCGCCCTCGGACACCATTGACGCACCCCGTCAGCATCATCCTCGATTTTGCCGAGGAGAGGGGCCTCGTTGAGCGCGACTCTCGCGCACCCCCGGAGGTACACGCTATCAACCCTCAGTTCCCCTACTGTCGCTTCCATCGGCACCAGGGGCACAGGACCGATGACTGCCATCAGCTGAAGACGGCCATCGAGAGATTAATACAAGCGGGGCACCTGTCCCAATTT